TGCTCCATGGAGGTTAAAATCCATGCAGCATAAGGAATGGGTAAAGTCATGAGTTACATGGTGTAACCCTAATAGCTACCATATAAAAGAAACCCATGGCTCAAGAAATCGGACTATGTGTGTGTGAGGGCTAAACGATTTCATGGAGTGTTAAAGTTTCTCTCAGGTTATTCCAATTGTACTTGATGTTGTGTGAGCCATTTGAGGTGTTACACTTGGGGCACTAGGCACTCAAGCTTCATGAAGACAAGCACCAACAAAAGGTATGTTATTCTAACTTGTGTTATTCAAAGTTTTGTATGCTAGAATAGTACAATACCTTGGAAAGTTGATATTCGCATGTATAATAGAGAAAACATAGATCCAAGGTATTTAGGGTTGTATGTACACTTAGGAGTGTTAGATTGCTCAAAACCCAACAGATCTCTCTGCTCAAAACTCAAAGGGCTGTTTTTCAAACTTGTGCTAGTGATGTGAAGAATATGTTGACTCCTCTTCTCGAAGCCCATGATCAAATTCTGACTTTAACTATTCGGAAGCATCTCCAAACTAAACTTCTTCCTGCCATTTCTCTACTTAGTGAAATGAAAGGTGTCTCGGAGAAATTCTTTCTTCCGACACAAGGGGGAGAGGAGAGTAAAGTCAAAACAGAACCGAAGGTTAATGTAGCTTCAGTTTCTGGAAAGCAAATTATAGACGACAGTGACTCTGATCCTGAAGAGACGATTGTCGAAGCTCTCAAGCGAAACAAACAAGACAGAGAGATTGATGAGACTATGAAGGTGGCAAGAGAGGCTGAAGAGAAGGAGAAAAAGACTAATGAGGCAGAGGATATTTTACAGTGCAAGAAGACTCTGTTTCTCGAGTGGGACAGAGATACTCTTATCAATCAAGCGATTGAGTTTCCTTCCATCTATGCTTCTTTTGAATGTGAAAACTCAAAGGACTCGCATTTTGACATGCCAATCACTAAAAGAGCATTCACTTATCATTGCTTTGAGGTCACTGCTGAGGTTCCTTTTCCCAACTTGAAGGTTGACAGGGAGCTATTTGATTTTTAGTTGAAGAACGGTCAACCGCAGTACTTGACTTGGAGTGCACAGAAGATTACAAGAGCCAAGGTACTGAACTCATCACTTGCTGGGAGATTTATGAATGTTCATTTCAAGATTAACCGTGGTAATGCAAACACGGAATATTTCATATCTCTGGCAGATCTTCCTAATCTTAATCCTCATGATTGGATCTTGCTATACAACATTCTGCTCTCAAATCAACGACAGTATGAGCCGATTTTGAAACATCTTAAAAGGATGTTGGCCTCCTATATCCATGAGCTTGCCACAATGGATCAGGAGATAGCAAGGGTGATGAATAAGAAGCTGACAGTCAAGCCAACATCTAAGCCCGGTGATGTAAATAAAATGAAGTCGGGGCAGATTGATTCAACTAACTTGATTGTCATGTTCACTAAGGGTGACAGGCTTAAGTTTCTGTTTGCATTGGTAGACAAGCATCTGTTTTCAACAGATTGTTTGGAGCATATTATCAACATCATTCATCGATGCAAGCAGAACTCAGCATCAGACAAGAAATTTTTTACAGATATGCTTCGGTGGTATATAACATTTAGACAACATGTTCTTGCCATTATACCGAGGATATTTGAAACGGTGAAGAAGACCACTGGTGTGAAAAGAGAATAGAGATTCTGCTCCAAAGACGCAAAGGGGGAGATTGTTGAATATTTTAAGTGTTGCATCTTGGATTATTTGTTTTGTAAACGGATTGGGCTTATCCATCCGTAGTTATCTAGAATAGTTTCCTTTATCTAGATAAGTTGTTAGGGTTTTATTATAAATATATACATGCATGTATGCATATATAAGAGATTGTTTTGTTCACTTTGATTGTTGGAACCCTAATTTTTACCTCTACAGATTGAAGTTCTTAATCGAGCTCTTCTGGGGTATTTTGCATTAATCATTCGACATCTTCATCGCAATACTTGTGTTCTTATTTACGTTCTTATTAATATTTTGCTTAGAATCATACGATCCTGAAATAACTTTGTTCTAACACCCTTTAACAAAATGCATTACTATTCTTTGACTCCAAGGTTGAAGAGACTGTATGCTTCACAAGCGACACCCACTTCCATGCGATGAGACTCCGAGGATCATAGACATGATGCTGGAGAATGTGTCATCCATCCGATTCAGAAGCTTGGAACCACTTTGACATAATTCATCCTTCATTTGCAGTAGAAATACGTAATGTTAGATTAGGCCTAAGTACAGATGGCTTTACACCACATGGTGCATTTGTAAACCAATATTCATCTCTTTCTATTAATATAACACCTTATAATTTGACATCTTCTATGTGCATGAAAGAGCCTTCCATGTTTTTAACCGCACTTGTGCCTGGACTGTCAAACACTAAGCATAAAATAGATGTATTTTTCCAACCAGTTGTTGCAGAATTGGAGTAGTTATGGGAAGAAAGTGTATTAACATATGATATATCTTTAAGACAAAATTTTCATTTACGAGCAACATTGATTTGGAAAATAAGTGATTTTCCAGCATATTCAATGATTTTAGGATGATCTACAACAGGTAAGCTAGCATGTCCACATTATGGGAAATATACACATGCATTCGGACTAAAGAATGGTAATAAGATGTCATGGTTTGACCGTTATAGAATATTTCTACAGGTAAATCACTCATATAGAAAGGATAAAAATAAGTTCAAGAGGAATCGTGAAGTGACAGAAGGTCATCCTCCAAGTAAGAATGGTGAGAAAACTTTAAGGGAAATTGAACAATTTGGTACGATAAAAGTGACTAAACTAGATGCTGATGATGTAAACAAAGCATGTGGCTATCATAGTTGGAAAAAGATAATCAATTTTTTTGGTATTTACCATATTGGAAAACAAACCTCATTATACATAAATTTGATGTTGTGCATATTGTGAAAAATGTATTTGAGAGATTTTTACAATGTAATGGATTTCAAAGCAAAGACAAAGGACAATATAGTAGTGAGAAGAGATTTGAAACTCTATTGTAGGAAGCGAAACAGATTCGAAGATGATCAGAGAGCGTAATATGCTCTAGATAAGAATCAAAAGAAATACATATGCGAATGGGTGGAGAAATTGAGTTTCCTCAATGGTTATGTTTCTAATTTGGGGAGATGTGTTGATTTAACCGGGCGTAGACTGTTCAGAATGAAAAGCCACGATTGTCATGTTTTTATCAAAATGATGATGCCGATTGCATTTCATGAGATGTTGCCAAAACATGTGTGGGAAGCATTAAAACAATTTGACTCTTTTCTTCAAAATATTAACAGCAAAATCAATCACAACAAAAGACATGGAAATGCTTGTAGTCGGGATTCCAATTATTCTATGGATACCTCCATCTTTCTCCCTGGTATTTTTAACAGCATGGAAAAATTACCAATACATTTTCCATACGAAGCAAAGATATCATGTCCCGTCTAATATTGGTGGATGTATTCATTTGAATGGTTTGTATGTTAGACCAAAATGTATGTCACTATATTTTTAAGCTAATTTAAATATTCTTTACTATAGATATTTAATTTAGTTGAAAAGATGTGAAAAATAAAGTTCGAGTGGAAGGGTCCGTTGTTAAAGTGTACTTGATTTGTGAAGCATCAATATTTTGCTCTCATTGTTTCGAGACTGGTGTCCCCACATGTAATAGAAATTTGCGTCATAATGATGATAGAGGAGGAGATGAGTAACCTGATGATAACAACGAAATTTTAGATATATTTTTGTATCCTATTCGTCATTATGGAAGATTCAGGAATAGAATGTTCCCTGATGAGGAATTGCATGTTGCCCATACTTACATACTCCTTAACGAAGATAAGATCAAACATTACATCAGGTAATTAACATATACTTCACTTTTAATTATAATAATCATTTGTTGTGGAATTTCTCTAAATAATATTTATATGCATGATTTTGTTCATTACATCATAGTAACTTTCAAAATGTTATTTAAATGGTAATAAAAATATTTGAAGAAGATTTGAATGAACTTATTGAGGATATGGATGGACAGGAGCTTGCAGCTGAAGTTAAGAACTTTGTAGTATGGTTTCAAAATGATGTGGGTGTTAATTTTATATTTTTTTTAATTTTATTATTTTTTGTTTTGGTTATAATTAACTCTAATTAAGCGTTTTACCATTATTCACATAGGCATGTAAGATCCGAATAACGAACAAGTATATATTTGACCTGCTCTTTCAAAAAAAAGTATATATTTGACCTTTCAAAAATGTCATTCAAGGGAGTGAAATTATATAGTGTATACTTTGTCAATAGTTACAAGTTTCACACAAAACTCATGTTCTGAACAAATCCACAATCAAAAGTGGACTTTGTGTTAGTAGCGTAGGAAGTGATTATTACGGAAAGGTAGAGGAAATTTTAGAAATTGTGTACCCTGGTTACCCAATTAAAACCGTAGTTTTGTTTAAATGTTCTTGGTACGATCCAACACCTACCATAGGAGTTAAGGTTCACAAACAATATAAATTAGTCGAGCTAAACATCAAAAGAAAAAAAAAAGTTCGAGCCATTTGTTTTAGCCATGCAAGAGACTTAGGTAGGCGTGGAAAATCGGGCAATCGTTCCGTGTTTTTATCTAACATGACACGACATAAATTATTTTCCCTAAACCTGAACACGACACGAAACAATATCGTGTTTGTTTTCGTTAACACGAACACGAAAAAATAAAAAACACGAGAAAACCGATAAAACGAAATAATTTACCAAAAAAAAAACAATTCCATAATGTTATTCGAAATAATTTACCAAAACAACAAACAATTCCATAATATCATTCATAGTTCTTGCAAAAAAGTTAAATTAAACATAATAAATACGCATTTAGTGACATAAAATAACATAAAACGTCATAAAATTTGGCTAAATGACTTCAAGCTTGTGACTCCATTTCTTCATGCGTACCATTGGCATTGTTATCCAATTTCATAACATCTTCAGTAAGATCTTGTAAACATAACTCTTCATCACCTACAAACAATATTAAAAATATATTAAAAAATATTAAATACTTTATACAAATGTTTGAAGAAGAATACAAATTACCTTTAATCCTAAAAAACCAATCTTTTGCACAAATTATAGCTTCAACATTTTCATGTTTCAACGAACTTCGATATTGATCAAGAAGACGACCACCATTACTAAAGGTTGATTCAGATGCAACAGTGGAGACGGGGATGCTCAAAATATCTTGAGCCATGGAAGCAAGTTCCGGATAACGATATTGATGAGCTTTCCAAAAAGAAAGTACATTTATATCTTCAGTTATGTCACTTCTTGGCTCATCTAGATACATCTCTAATTGTGATTTTTGAGACAAAGCAAACTCCTTAGTTTAATACACTGTGAACTCCTATAAAAACAGAAATTTAATTAGTATAAATTAAAAAAACTTATGAAATAAACTAATTATAGAAAACAATTAATTACTAAAAACTATTTCTTACTTGTAGCATTTCTCTCTCGCTTTTACTAACTGTTGCGTCATCTTTCTTTTTTAAACACTTTTACTTGAATCACTTGTTGAAATGGTTTCTGCTCTATAAGACATGGGTGATTCAATAACGTATTCACCAAATAGATCATGTAACTTCTCCCGAATATAATCACTATGCTCACGAAAACTGCTTCCATAGAGTTTTTTGTAAGTAATCTCAACATATTGCATTTTATAACGTGGATCCAAAACTACAGCCATGGCCAAAATTGGACTATACTCGGACCAATATTTAGAGAACTTCTCATACATTTTGCATCTCATTATTTTTATAAATGTATCCGAACATTTATTTCTTCTTTTAAAGTTCTTTCAACCGTGGAAACCGAAGGAAAATATAAGTTTGTTGTGCAAGACTTATATCCAAAAAAAAATGCCTGTGACTTCATAAAATACATCCAACCAGGAAGTAACTTGTGCTAATAGAAGACCACAAATCAACACTTAATGAAATCTGACCAGGAAGTAACTCAAACACTTTTTTGAGTTTTCCTTTTTCTCTTTTAAATAAATTCAGCACATCTTCTTTAGCAGTGTTTCTAGTAATTGTGGTAACTTTTTCATTTAAGTAACTAAAGATTTTTCTAATTCCCTCATACTCTAGAAACCTAAAGGGAAGGTCATGCTTGACAATAGCTTCACTAATAAGTTGACGGGATCTTTCAGGTTTAAAAACTGTGGAATTTATTGAAATGGAACCAACTGATTTTGCAAAAATGAATTGTGCTATGTCACTTTTGTCCCATCTTGGACACTTTGGAATGTCATTTCTCAAGCTACCTGTCCCATTTTTGGTTTCTCAAATGTATCTTTTTTTTGCACTTATCACATTCAACTCTTTCCCTACCATCTGCACCAATTGGAAGTCAGGTATAATACTTGCATACCTCATACCACCTTTCTCTTTCCATTTTTATATGATCTTCTTCACCCTCTACTTTAACATCTACCTCCACAACATCAATGTCATCAGCTTCTTCTTCAAGTTCAACATTCTGAAATAAAAGAGGAGGGTCTTTTCAGAAATTATATAATTTAGATGCGAAAAAGTTAAAAAAAAATAATGAAATACCTGAGGAGCTACAGGTGTAGAGTGTGTATCCGTTTTATCAAGCTTTGCCTTTTTTGTATTATGTGTTTTATCAAGCTTTGCCCTCTTCATGTCGATTTTCTTATCAAACTGTTTGAAATAAAAATTGGAAACAAATATTTAAAAGAAAGTTGTAATATGAAATTAAGAAAGTAATCAGAAGCAAAATATGGAGTGTACAGTTTATATGAACATGATTATAACTTTAGATACTATTGTACAAGAACCTGTAATATGAAATGAAACAAGTTTAACAAAATAACAACAGAATTCAAAGTAATCAAGAAGACTAGAAGTATAAGTAAAATCAAGTATCTTAGAAACAAATATGTAGCAATATAAGAAGTAATCAAGAGATAAGATGTATACAGTTTCTCCTTATTGCAAAATCAATAAAGAATTATCAATCCAAGAATCAAGGTTTACTTGACCATATCAAAGAAATAATTTTATTTTATTTTTGTATAAGAAACTACAAAAAAGAAAGAGACAAATTATTTAGTGCACAAATGTTTACTGCTATTACGTATTTGCGCACTTAACCATATCACCAAAGTCTTTTTCTAAGTAACCAATTGCAACATTATTTGAAAATTAAATAATAAAACTAACTTTCTTGTGTCGATTGTGGTTGATATTTGAGAGACAATAAAGAAAGTATATGAGTAGATTGTGATTGTCTAAACGACTGAACCAAAAATGAAACAAGTTTGAGAAGCAAGGCCAAGAAATGTTTAGAGCATTTTGGTTTTGCGATCGCCGATTGTCGACTTGTGGTTGAGAATTTGTAGTTAAAAAACAAATAATGAACCGGAGATTCCTTTAATATAATCGATTGCGTATGATTTTCAAATAACACCACCATCAATGGTTTATTGTTCTAGTTCTACTGAGTAGTGAAAATGGGGATATGGAAATCACCGATTAGAATTTCTAAGAGTCTTTTGGGTTTTCAAAGAAGTCGATGGAAAGGCCAAGCCTAGGTCTTGAATCCATAATTGTTTAATTATTTTAATGCATAAATTTAAATACCTATTATTATTTTTTCTTAAGTATCTATTATTTAATAAAGTGTAAAATGAAATTATCGTTTTAGTATCTTTTTATAGTCGTGTTTAATTTCGTTTTAATATCGTGTTATAGTCGTGTATATATCGTGTTTTAGTCGTGTTGTTATCGTTTCTAATTTCAAACAAGAACACGACACGACACGACTTCATTTTTTTTAAACAACACCAACACAAATTCGAATTTCGATTTCGTCCCAATTTCGTTTCGTGTCGTGTCGACTTTTTCTCCCCTACACTTAGGTGTGTTACATTCCTTACCTAAGTATGGAAAAAAACAACCCAGATTGGTGGGTTGTATTTAAAGTTAAATCTTGTGGTTGGACTGATGTACGTGCAAATCATCCGCAGAAAGATGTTTCTTTCCAAGAAGACGAAGTTGAACCAAATGAAATCAATATACCAACTACTGCCAATACATACAATTTTCATGATCACGACATGTCAAGTAGCGGTTCAGATAATGAAAATAACATTGATGAAGAAGGTTAAATTCATGAGGACGATGATCATTGTATTCCTGACAGCAAGGGTAGTTATGAGTATAGTACATCAAGCAATGAAGAACAAGATGAAGAAGAAGAAGAGGTGGAAGAAGATATTGAGTAGATGTTTTTGTTTCTTTATAGAAGGATGGTTACATTGTCTAATTTTTAGTTTTTGTATGCGAATTGGTAAATGTAATGTTATGTATTAGTGCTCTTCACGAGAGTTATGTAAAATGAAATTGTATCATTCTTTGGCATATTGAAAGCATTTACTAAAAGGGGACATGTGTTCTTGAGATATCTGTATGTCCAATATTTTCAGTAATATCTAAATATGTAATCATTTATGTTATAATCCGGTTTCTTTACATTGAAATGGAAAAAAAATATTCAAGATAACATAAACATAATATCATATGTTTATTCTTACATGTACTATTAAAGACACATAAAATGCAATAAAACAAACCAAATATATTACCAATTCATAAACATATCATTCAAACTATGGCTTCCCAATTCCATTGATCATAATAACAATTCCTCTATTTATCATAATAATAAGAAGAAAATTAATTAAGCATACAACATCCAAACAAAGAAACAAACCAAACACACCATCATGAACTATCTTGAATAAATACTTCAGTCGGGGTTTCATTGGCATGAATTTTGATAGGAGCGTCGGTGGGGGGGAAGGGATCCAAAAATGACATCTTCATTGTCACACCCTGCTAAAGTGGAAAGACGAGGCATGCCAGTATAAAGGGTTTCATAGCTAAAGATAAAGGACAACACCAACCACAATATTAAAAATCATTAGAAATTTACAATAAGTTTGCACAACTTTTTAAAAGTAATTACAATGTATTTAAAAGTTAACACATGAAAATGCTCCTACAAGTGATGTGTCTCTACGTCCCTCTTACTTGATGATTCCTGAAAAGGCATGCAAAACGAATGTCAACTATAAAAATAGTTGGTGAGTACTCATAGATTAAAAAAAAATATTGGTTTCAAGAATCGAATTAAAATTTTTGATAAAAGTTTCCACAAATAAAAGTATATTTCTAAAATGAATTTTCAAGAATCGAAATAATATTCGTTGTTACAAGGAGCAAACAATTTCATAGCTAAAACAAGTATATGGGTCTTCGGTAATAAAAGTTCGTTTCTATAATGAGAAACAAAGTTTGTAGCTATAATAAGCATAAAAGTTTCGTTGCTAAAATAAGTATACAGGTTTCATTGCTAAAAATAAGTATATAAGTGTCGTTGCTAACATGAGAATACAAGTTTCATATGTTCATAAAGATTCGTATGTGCATCAAGTTTCCATAAATAGAAATATATTGCAAAAATGAGTAAATAAGTTTGTATAAACAAAGTTCGTTGTCATCATGAGAGATAAAGTATGTTGCCCAAATGAGATGCAACGTTTATATTCTTATAGGAAATAAAGTTTGTTGCTAAAACGAGATACAAGGTTCGTATGTGCATAATGATTATACCATGAGTTCACAACCCAAGCCTAATAACTGAGGGTGCCCTCTTCTATGTCTATCGCTAACATAGGGAAATATGGTAAAATGCACTCAAGCGAATCGTGCGAGTGAGGAGTTGTCTACCTCCTAATACCACTATCCATAATAACCATAGGCTCAAATGAGTTAATGAGTTGTGTGAATTGATTACAGGGACTTAAACGCGATAAGGCCTCATGAATTAACAATAACATACACATACATAGCAACATATAACAACCATGTTCAAGTCAACTTAAATACAACGAACATAAATATTTTAGGACATGTTTTTCCACCCCAAAACATAAAAACCAAAAGTAGAGGGAGTCGTGAATACTCACAATATGCATTGAGATGATGCAAATGGTTCCTTCAACTACGGTCCTCTTGTACCACTACCGATTCCTACAATAATGGTATTCGCTAGTGAGTATCTAATCGAAATCTAACACTAGTATACTTACTACTACAATAGAATTATGCCAATATTGTGTCAAAATATAATATTGATAAGTAACAAACATTTTCCTGTGAAAATTAAATTTCAATGAATCAATTGGTATATAATAATTTAACTGGAAAATTCTCATTATTGAAATGTTAATATTTAACATTTTAAGAGATGTTCCAATGATTAAATATTCAAAAACTAAATCAATTAAGTTCTAAAATTTCCCAAACTTTGCATTTCAGTTTTAATAGACGTCAAATACGTCAATATAAATTTTCTTGAATTTGTTTATTTGTTTAACTATTTTTCTCCATTTTAGTTTCTTGAATCACCATAAAATCATAAAAAATACTATACAGTTAATAAAAATTACCAAACTGTAGATTTTGGTTCTAACTACATTAAAACACTTCCAGATAAATTTTCATTGATTATAGATATGCATAACCATTTTCATATATTTAATTCTCTAAATTGATAAAATTTAATGGAAAATAGCAATGAGTTAAGAAAATTCCCCAAACTTTTTATAATACTGTCATTACACAATCTTAAGCTGTGAAAAATATAAAAATGGATTTCCAAACTATTTAACCCAATTTTATGATTTTTGATCATTTACTCTAATAAAAATTGAAATAAATAGAAAATAGTTTCCAAAAATTTCCCAAAATTTTTGTAACATTGTTATTATACATTATTAAGCTGGGAAAATTATAAAAATAAATTTATAAACTGTTTAACCCAATTTTATGATTTTTGTGTATTTATTCTAATAAAAATTGGGTTTAAGTGTATTTAATCTTGGGAAAATAGAACAAAAATAGTATACAAAAGAGAAAAATCATCAAAAGTTTTATGTAGCATTCTCATTTACTACAAGGTGTTCTGGTAATTTTTAATGAATTTTGGATGAGTAGAACTATTTATCCTATTTTTAGGCGATTATAAATACAAAAATCAGGAAAAAAATAGGAATGTAGTATGAAAAATTCTAAAAAAATATGGTTCTAAGTCTTTCAAGAATGGGGGAAGCTGCAAAAAGTGTTAGGTATCACTTTCAATTTTTCTTAAGTGTTTTTATGATTTATTTGGTCTGAACAAAAAGAAAATTCAAAACAACCGTAAACAGTAACAAAAATCGATGAAACTTAATGAGATGCCATTATTTAGCATAGGGGTCATCCACAAATTTACCAGGATTTATAGACCTCGGAAAGTATTTTATATGATTTATTGCCCTATTTTCTTGCATTAATTATAGTAATTTGAGATAAACAAATTATTTTCTAGAAATTTACAGAGCAACTTATTTTGTTGATGGGAATCTAGGAAAAATCGGATTTGGTCAGAAAATGAGTTTTAGATATTTATTTGGAAATAAATCCTTCATGAACATTTTTGAAAACTTTTAACAACATACTTTGATGATCTAGCATCTAAACTTGAAGATCATCACATGCATGTTTGTTTGAAAACCATTCATGAGTTTGAAATATTCAAAAATCTTTTTTGATAGAAAACATAGGGTGCATGTGGTTTTTTTCCACTAAAACATGTAGAAAACTGCATTTCCATGGTT